CCCATATAAAGTTATGTGATTATACCCCTAATAGTCTGTATGGTGAATTTCATTGCAAGAATTTGAACTACCCTCTTTTCACATTACCTACTGCTCTATATGGTTTGCATTACCATTTTAGTGATTACTTAGCTACCATATCATGTTGTGCTAAACTAGCTTCTTTCACATTACCATCTGCTCTGTATGGTTTTGCATTACCATAATTAGTTCTTAGTTATTACTAAGCTACCATATAATGTTGTGCTAAACTACTCTCTTTTACATTACCATATAAGGTTATGCGAAACTACCTACTCTTTCACACTATACCCCTAATAGTCTGTATGGTGTGAATGTGAATGCAAGAAGTGTTTGTTTACCTTTTTGGCGGGTGTTTAGGGTGATTAGGTACTTGTTTTCCTTTGCTAAGTATTTTCCCGGCCCATTGGCCTTTTGTTTTTAATTACAATAGAAGACATGGGCCGACCCTGGGTCCAATTCCTGTGTATAAGATTATCCCATATATGAGATGTTTCAAACTAAAACAAAGATTGAAATACTGAAGAAACGTACCAACTTCAGGAGAGGCTAAAAGGGCTTTCTGCTCGATCTCAGCCCATGCCATGGGGTAGATAAGTCTCCGTCTTTTATGGTTTTAGCGCGAAGTAATACCGTAAAACTCAAGTGGTAAGTTCAATGGCCAGCTCCATTGTCTTGGCGCCACCCATACTTGAGCACTGGGGAACTTTCTATAGAAGGGACTGACGAAAAACTTGTGCTCCTCATAAGTCATAAGCAAAGGTTGGCAAGACAATGCACTCAACCGGAGCTCCCAACTCCTCAATAAGCTAAACTCAAGAAAGAAAAAAAACCCAATAGAGTTCAGATATCGTTTTATTATCAAATTCTACAACTATGTTTAGATATCAATCTGAGTAGAGAAATGATACTAAAGCATGAGATTTTATTCATTCAAGAAAATAAAAGGAACCTAAATACACTCTTTGGTAGGAGCAATAGGAGCATGAACCCACCATAAACCACCGGATTTGAGTTTGATGACAGTCATTCTCATATTCGTGGAGACACTGCTGAAACCTAAAGCTTGTTCTTGTTCAAACATCCATATCCAACCTTTTACCGCCTGCAAAAAAAAAAAAAAAAAAACCAGGAAAGGTTTTTGAAAACTAAGTCACTGTAATGAATTCTCAACGAGTTCAAAAGCCTAACCTAGTGAAGTTTATATAAAACTGTTTGCTTCGATCATCCATACCTTGATCTAACTCCATCTCACAAACTTCGCACCAGTTCGTGCCATTCCCCCTTTCCACCATAGTATAAAGTGAGAGGGTGCTCATCGCTCATATGGCATATCTCCTCTAGTAAAGTAGCACAATACAAAGACAAATAAAAGTTACAACCAGGTATCACAAGTGAGCATGTAGTCATCTAGAAATCTCTTACATGCATCACAATAATCATCCTCCTTTGTTTCAACAAAATATAGGGGATGAGAATGCACATTAACAAACGGCTCGGAAAGGGTACCTATTGACAAAGCCAATTTGTTCTCAAACCAAACCAAGTGCTCCAACGATTATGATCACATCACTGAAGCAAACTGAGTTGGTGAAACAGTAAAACAGCAATTATGTTATGCTTTTCAACGAAAAAAACACACGTTGTGTTGCTAACTAAAACAAACACCTTTCAATCTGTGAGCCATGAATGATTTCCTTGATAAAAAAACAGAGTCACTTACAGCACTAATCACAACAGTACCTCCCGTGAGACATTTAGATAATGCAGAGCATGGAAAATGATGACTCAATCAGTGCAGGCTTGCTATAGCCTAACAGAGGTGCAACACCGCAAGTCATCCTAAAATAAGGATCCTAAACAGAAGAAAAAAAATGAAAGATTGATTATGAACACAAAAGCAGCATAATAAACTGATACACGGAGATCATTCAAAAAGGAGGCATGTTACTGATTTTTCCAATATGATCTTCCCCAGACAAGATGTTATAACAAATCAGAATAAAGGAATATACTTTTGGTTCAAGTAAATGATGATGAGAGGCAAGACAGAACTCACATTGCAATGAAAGAGAAGAAGAGTTAGCACAACTTCCCAATGTCCATATCTACAAGCTTGCATCAATGCTGTCTGAAACAAGATTCATTCACGCATTGGATCATACATACGAAGTCGAATGCTTTACTCTATTAGCTCAAACTTAAACAAAAGATTTAACAAGTTACTACTACTAATACACATCCCCAAATCGAGTTAAGGTGGATACAGAGCTAAAGGCTAAACATTTGAATCTGGGAATACCTGGCCACAATAGTTTTTGGAGTTAACATCAGCTCCTTTCTCAAGCAACAACCCCACGATATAACCATAGACAAAGAAGACAACTTCAAGAATTGAAAAGAGAGATATTTGAAAATTTAATTTAGGATGGGGAAAGAAAGTAAACCTCGTTTTGGCCTTCAATCTAGTAGCATCTTTGCTTCCACGTAATCACCATCTCTAGCTGCAGATACTAATCTCTCCCCTGACGCCGAACAACCAAACGAGTTTCCCATCCTCTCTCTCTCTCTCTCTCTCTCTCTCTTTCTTTCTTCTTCAGATTAGATTACTCTCTCTTTCGCTCTCTAATTCAATTGGATGTGACGATGAATTAGGTCAACTGTCGTGGAAAAGCTGCAGAGAGAGGAAAGAATCGGAGATTAGATTATCAGGCACACTTGTGAGGGACGATGGAGAGAGGGAGCTGAGAGGGTCGACGGCACACTTCCCAACACGTAAGGATTGAGTCCGTAAATTAAGGACTCATCCTTAGCGGGCCAAAATTTTAAATATTTTTTTAATCCAGTATCGTTTAAAACTCCCGTTAGTACCTGCTCTAATGGATGTTTCTTCTTCCTACGTGGATTTTACCACTGATATCGTGTGTGGACATAAATCAATGTGATGACGTCAACATAATGAGATAAGCAGTTAAAAAAAAAACAAAACAAAAAAGGACATTTAAGCAATATTCGTGGTCAACAAACAGCACGACGTCGTCTCACCGAATTACAATACCCATTGGTGGGTTCGGGGAGAATAGTTACAACGTGCTATTAGTTGCGTATTCAAGCTATTGCGGGAACATATGCTGCTTTAATTGTTGTACTAAGATTCTGACAAACAATTATATTTGTGTGTTTTTTTTTAATCTTATTTGTGTTTAATATTAATTTAAATTTTCTTTTCTGATAACTATATTAAATATGGCAAGTTGCATAATTATACATTTGTGCCATATATATTTGTTCAAAAACTTGAGATACGAAAAGCTCTTGTATCAGAAGATACGTAAGCTCATTATTTATTATTTTCCTGTGATTAGCTTCTAGGTTCGTAACACAGCTAATCTATAATTGTAATAATATACTAATGTTACTTGTTGCATGACCTCTTTTCAGCATAATGAACAGGTAATAATAATTGCTGAAGTTTAAGTCTTATGCGTCGTTTTGGGTTAAGATTATTTTCGTCGCAACTTGCAAGTCACAACAAAGAGATGTGTTATTCATGTTTCTTTGTTTATGCAGAGCTTTCAAAGAGGAACATTGAACAGTACTCAAGTTACGGTTTTGTTGATTTCATACCAAAACAAGAGACTTCAAATGCGAGAATGCATGGTCAAAGCATCCATCCCTTTAGACGCCATTTGGTAAGCCTTATGTTGTATTCTCTTATCTTTCTCCTCTATCAAATCTCTTCATTTGGATGCATTATCGACTCTTTATTTACCATCGCAGTTGATCGAGTGGGCCAAAGATGACAATAGCATGTAAGAGAAGAGGTGACGCTCAACTGGTAAGCATAAAGAAAATGATCTTCCAAAGAGAAGAAGCATAGCAGAATACCCACACCCCCTCTGTTAAAAAGTTGTGTTGACAATGGTCGTATAAGTCATCACTGTGATCGATAATTCTGCATTATTAAACTGAGGACCGTACCTGACTTTTATAAAGTTAAAAGCAGTAAAAAAAAATTTGGCCCCAAAAATTGTATAGAACTGGGGGTGAATCCATAACCTAGACAAATAAAACAGTATATTAAACCACTGAACTAACAATGTATCTGGTCAAAATGACCCCTAAATTGCTAATAATATTATTGGCACCAAGCCAATGCTCGACCAACTTGTGGCCAGGCACGACCTGATTAAACTTCTACTCTGTACTGGCTTAATATGCTGAAGTATTAAGTTATACATTCTGTTTTTTAATTAAATCTCAGAAAAGAATGTGTTATATACATAAAAAAAAGATATTCAACATTATTGTTTTGGTTGTTGCTAGCAAGTGGCTGAGCTTTAACTAAATCGCACAATTGCATAACATAACGGTTTAACACAAACTCTTGAGAAAGTAATTGTCTACACTAATAAGGAAGCAGAAAGATGACTGTAGAGAAGCACTCCATAATGCTTAATGACATACACAACATGCGGGAGAAGAATAACCCGACCTGAATAAGCAAATAATAAAAAAGTGTGTTAATTCATCAAAGATACTGTATATTTGCCAAATTATGTGGACATCTCTATATTTCTATTTTATTTATTTATGCTATATAACTTATATGTAAAACCGTTCATAATGCAAAACTCTTGAAGTCATCTTCTCGAGTTTAGCCTTCTGTTGTAACTTTCTACTCTGTTACCTCAATGATATTATTATGATATTATCTCTTATGTGTTATTGTCTCTTAAGCAAAAGGCCAGAATAGTGTTGATGAATATTGTGTACCTGGACTACTTGACCTTGGTCATTAATGTCAAGAACAGCAACAGTATTGGCTTCGGATAGTGTTGATCCATAGACACCGCTTCGGATAGTGGCTGCGAAACGGTACCCTTCAGCTCCTCTCCATGAATAGTAAGCTATATATCCGTGTCTCATAGAACCCTGTATGATATAACCACACGCGGTTGTAAGATCTTTGTGTCAAAGCCATGAAATTTAAATCACTGCTACATCCACTTTTACTCATAAACCAAACATAAATGGAAACAACGAGAAGATCATTTTCAACAAACAAAGAACACACGCTTTTCCCAACTGAGTTAATTTCAATTTTCCACATCAACCAACGGAATATCCACAAGGATTTTCAAATCAAGCACCATGCACTCAGAACAACAACAATGACATTCACTGCTCTTTCCAGAGTATTAGAGAAGTATCAATGGGCTAAAGAGAACATAGTTTCAACAGAAAATGAGCACTCAAATGAAAAATTATTGAAAAGAGTAATCCAGCGAGATGAGTAACTCAATAAGCAAAACAATTTTTTTTTATCCAACTCTTACCAGGGAGGAAAGTAAGGATGCCAAGGACAAGAAGAGCATAGCCCTGAGAGCTATCTCCTTCCATGTGACCAGTAAAGATGAAAACCGTCAAAAGAAGAAGCAAGCAACCAAGAAACAAAAGAAACACAGCTAGTCCTATCGATTTCCATGCTACTCTATCAAACGCTTTCGGTGTACTCCATAATGCTTAATGACATACACAACATGCGGGAGAAGAATAACCGACCTGAATAAGCAACCAAAAATAATAATAACACTATAGATATGAATACATCAGTTGTAGCCCAAAATGTACACAAACTAACCACTAACTTAGACACGTATCTTTCAATTGCAAGCATAACAAACTACAATACACCAAACACAGACCCCGCAACACACCAAACACAGATCAATCAATATTGTGCCAGAAATTTAAAACCAATCAATATCTTGCATACATTGACATAAAGCAAAGACTCCGTCCACGACCCCGCACTTGCGCGGGGCTCTGCAGCTAGTTAAATAAAGAGAACACTTACATGTTCATCCAGTTGATACCTTTTCATACAATAAGTATAATACTCAAACTGTTGCTCAAAAAAAAAAAAAAAGGTATAATACTCAAACTTGTGGGATTAAAAAATTATAGAATTCGTACGATCTTTCGATCAAGGTGGAACAATAATTAACTTTGTGTATATTTTTGATAAAAAAAATTATATTTGTATTTCTGCTTGTACGACGACAATAGATTGCTATGTATTCTGTCAAAAAGTACGGGCAGTCAGATGTCATTTTGTTGCATCGAATCATAGTAACGAAGGGGCAGCTTGTACTCAATCAATTTTGTGACGTCCCATACAATTTTGAGATGGTCATCTTCTGGTTCCTCCCGGTCTCCGCGAACACTAAGAGGCATCATTGTTGACAGGGCAGGCTCAAAAAAAACGTGGGCCCTTGGGCAAAACTGTTAAGTTTTTTTTTTTATATATTATAAGTAGTTTCTAAAAAATCTGGCCCCTATTTCAATTTTTCTGTTAAAAGTAGGAGAAATTGGCATGGCTGCCCCTAAGTTGGCCGATAATTGGTCTTTTGCCTCTGTAACCTTTAAATATTTTCAGTTGACGATTATACCCTCACCTCACAATTCGGCGAATCCTGTCGCAAGTCAGACTCCACTCTTTTGTCCGTTGAACAACTTCACGTCTCTTCGTTTCCCCAACCTCTCTCCTTTCACGCGTGATAA